GTTATGCAAAACACAATTTTTGTAAGCAAGTCCAAGCTGCAAATGACCGTTTCATCAATTATCAAAAGGCAATATATTTTGTTCAAATACCATTTAAACAAAAACAATCCAGGTCAAAACGATCACATAATCCAAGACAATGGCCAGAGCTCCAGATAAGCTTTTAGTGTTGTGGGTATTTTACCCATGCATTTTAAAATCATTGGGTGTTGTGGGTATTTTACCCATGCATTTTAAAATCATTGGGTAACAGTTATTCTATCTGGGTATTCAAATTTCTGTTACCCACTAGTTTTTACACATGTGGGTATTTAAGTTAAATATTTAAAAACACTATTCATCTAGTCCCTGCAAACTGGTGTCGTGTGGGTTCGAAAGCTTTATAGGACTCAAAAATACCACGATACTTCCACACGAAAGTGTGATGGCAAATGATCATGATGTAACTGTCATCGTGGAGTTTGGCAAGGTTGACGGAATGCCTGTTTATAATTTCAAAATAAGTTGCTGATTTGCTAATCGAATACGCAGGGTTACTTCACAATATTTTGATGATACCCAAGTTTTATTTGTGTAGCGTATCTGTAATGTTCGTTGCGTATTTGATGCGCTTGGATTTTATTTTACTGCGTATTTCTGCATTTCTGATGCATATTTTACGCAGATACGCAGCTTATCTGGAGCTCTGAATGGCACATACACATTTGTTAATGAGACCAAAACCTTGATGCTAGTGCTTTCATCAGTTCAGATGTATGTGTACATACTCATTACTTAGTGACATTACGACTAGTTCAGTCGACAAGAACTACTTCCCACATGACTCACACATAACTTTTTCTATCCTGCTTCAGCAAACTTTTATCCGAGGGGAGCAATTTCGCATTTCAGTTTCCAGACCTTAAAAATTCACATTTCCTTTTCTACATATTACTTACTCATCTTTTCTACCACCAGAATCCTGGTATCCTTTGTAACAAGTTTACCACTGCACTACATACAAACAGAACTTTTCATAACTGTCTGAAGACAAGACTCAGAACATACCTGTATTTGTGTGCACATTATTTAACCTGTAACTGTAAAAAACACTTCTGAGTGAGTTGTGAGTGTTCCGCTTAACGCGCGTCAGTTTAATGTGGGAGAAGTGACTGAGTTGGGTTTAATGCCTCTTTGAACAGTATTACAGTTATATCGCGGCGTGTCAGCATGATGTGGGAGGAAAGCCCGAAGTGATGCAGGTCTCAGACGTTTACCCCATTAGTGAATCCCACAAGCACTTTTAGCCATATTCCAACCATATCACAGCAGAGGAAAACATGAATGACCTTCACACATGGTGCCTATGTGGGGGATCAAACCCAGGTGGCTGGCATGATGAGCTAACACCTTAACCACTTGGCTATCCTGGCACCCAAAACATTTTGACTTGGCACTAACAAACCACGCCTGGTGACAGTTGAAGTAGCTAGGGCTTGTGAGTGAGGTGGGCTTCATGACACGTTGAACAGTGAGTTGGGTTTAATGCCTCTTTGAACAGTATTGCAGAGATATCACGGCGTGTCAGCATGATGTGGGAGGAAAGCCCGAAGTGATGCAGGTCTCAGACGTTTACCCCATTAGTAAATCCCACAAGCACTTTTAGCCATATTCCAACCATATCACAGCAGAGGAAAACATGAATGACCTTCACACATGGTGCCTATGTGGGGGATCAAACCCAGGTGGCTGGCATGATGAGCTAACACCTTAACCACTTGGCTATCCTGGCACCCAAAACATTTTGACTTGGCACTGACAAACCACGCCTGGTGACAGTTGAAGTAGCTAGGGCTTGTGAGTGAGGTGGGCTTCATGACACGTTGAACAGTGAGTTGGGTTTAATGCCTCTTTGAACAGTATTGCAGAGATATCACGGCGTGTCAGCATGATGTGGGAGGAAAGCCCGAAGTGATGCAGGTCTCAGGCGTTTACCCCATTAGTGAATCCCACAAGCACGGGTATGGTGCTGACAAACCATGAGACATAGTCGGGGTGAACTGGGATTCAAACCCATGATCATAGTTTTTTGGAGTGCCCAAAGGACGCAACACTGCACTGCGGATTGCGGCGCCTTATACCACCCGTATCAGCTTGATATGGGAGGAAAGCATGAAGTGATGCAGGTCTCAAACGAGAACGGGTATGGTGCTGATAAACCAAGAACCATAATCGGAGCAAACAGGGTTTCGGGCCCACAATCATAGCTTTCTTGCATGTCCAAGTGGTCATACAGCTCTGAATTCAATTACTGTTAGAACTAAAACATTCATTAACAAATACCACAGAGGAAAGGTTCGTTATTCACAACTTAACATCTTACTCGCTGTATCATTAACCTGGAAATAAGTTGCAAGCTCAAAGGCTTGCTATGAGTAATCAGATACGGATAAACAAATTACCTGTAATCTAATCATGTAATCATTATTGCCAATATAAAGCATTGTGAGTTATTAAGTAGTGCATACCAGTCCATATCCTGATATATTCCTTCAAGGATCAGAAGATTTTCTCATAAAATACGTACTCGCACCGAGTTTATCACTTGGTCTGCTTCCCATGGCCATTACTGATGAATATCTAAAACTTCTCATATTGGGTGCAGATCTTATATTGACAACTATTTTACATGATCTCAGCTGAATTTTATTCTAAAACAATATTTTAATTGCATGTACCATCTAGGACTGGGACGGGTAACTTGTGTACTCAGGTCGGCTAAAACCTGGGTACCCACAGTACTACCCAGATCTGTGGTTAGTTACGTGATATACTGTAAAACGTGAAAATAACGCGAGCGTGAATTAAATGCAAAAAATGCGAGTGGTCTTTGCTCGCATTATTAAACATCGCATTTATATCAACAATAAGACATTTTGGATAGCAGAAATACCAACTTAGACATACGCTGAAAACAAACAACTATGTATTCCACATCAATGTTTATTGAGCAGCACTTGTAACAAGTATATAAACAATGTCATTCAAACACTAATAACATCCTGTGAATTGTCACTGCTGGGGTCAAGACAAGCGTTCTACTCACTCATGTCATCACTGATCACACCTGCAAGTCCAGACAGACGCCACCCAACACGGTGTCTTTGCTCTTTGCGACTGCATCGAAGGCCGACACGAGCCAGCGCGCACGTATTGTTTTAGCTGAAGTACTCTACTCAGTGCTAATAAGCAGTGCTATTTGGTGTGTGATTGGATTAATATAAGGTTGGATTAAGGTGAGGATTCTCCTGTAAACCTGACAGAGGACATTTTGTTTAGATATAAATCCACAGATGCTTGAGAGGAGGGAGTGTCGCATTCATATTAAGTCGCATTTGGAGACGCATTAATTTCACGTTTTACAGTATTGTTAAATGACAAAAACTTACTATAGCGCAGTGGTTACACTACAAGTCGCTAATGTTCGCATTTCTTTCTGACGATGCACTCATTCCTTTTGACTTGTAAATGTTTGAGTAAAGATGAAGCTTAAGTCAACTCATGATCTGATTGTTTGATACATGTATCTAAATAGTTTTTGCCAGGGCTGCAGTAAATCAATTCCCAATAAGTAATTTTGTCTCCAACTCTTGAGACTCACAGTGGGTACCCGCGTAGGGTCGGGTAATAGGGGGTCGAGTACCTGCGTAGGGTCGGGTAATAGGGGGTCGAGTACCCGCGTAGGGTCGGGTAATAGGGGGTCGAGTACCTGCGTAGGGTCGGGTAATAGGGGGTCGAGTACCTGCGTAGGGTCGGGTAATAGGGGGTCGAGTACCTGCGTAGGGTCGGGTAATAGGGGGTCGAGTACCCGCGTAGGGTCGGGTAATAGGGGGTCGAGAACCCGTGTAGGGTCGGGTAATAGGGGGTCGAGTACCCGCGTAGGGTCGGGTAATAGGGGGTCGGGTACCCGCGTAGGGTCGGGTAATAGGGGGGTCGAGTACCCGCGTAGGGTCAGGTAATAGGGGGTCGAGTACCTGGGTAGTAAATTTGGACTCGTCCGAGCCCTACACCTAGTACCATCCCACTCTCTTTATATCCTTGAATAAAACCTTCATTATTGTGGGTTGGATTGTCCATTAGGTTTACAATTCTACACTTTGTAGAGATGATATATCTGAATCTAGTGATGTAAAAAAAACATGCATTTTTTGTGATTGATAATAAAATTATTAGCAAAATCTACATTATTGTATGATATGCCTTGGGAATATACTAAAGGAGAAATTGCGTCAAACTAACATGAGAAATCTTGCACACACCATTATAAAAATAATTTGTAATATAATTCAATAACTCATATTAATACTAAATAACATGTGCTCTCAATGCATAAAAGTACTATTTGAATGAATACATGGCCTCTGAATATAGTATTGTATCTTGGCATGACATTTTAAATTGTTTCACATTCCAACTGTCCATCAAGTTGAATGCTAATCACTTCAGTGACATTTAATTGCCTTGCCGATGCAATTCACGAGCGATATTAATAGTTCAAGGCTGAATCACTCAAGTGGAACAATACACCTGACTATCTGCCAGCCGTCAGCGATCAGGTGTTAGGCACCTCTCACATCACTGTATATTCACCTTAATTAACACACAACACCTTACAGAGTAATGAAGCACTTAGTCGAGCTGTCGTCACAGTTCATTAGGATACACTTATTGCTCCGATTAAGTCGCTTTGAACAGGTACACTGGCCAATCGGCGAGAATATCAGTAAATGTATATAACTGATAGAAACTACATGTATATCAATTTGATTCCGAACACATATGCTGATAATTTATTTAACTGATACATCAATTTGATTAGATTGATAATTTTAGAAGACTATCTAAATAGGTATGCAACATTTAGAAGGATAGATTCTATTTCCAAAAGATCAGTACGTGAGTTTGAGGGTAATGTGTCAACATTTGTATCACCTGTTTAAAAACACCTGTAAAATCCTTACCTTCCATCCATTCCCTGCATCTTTGTAATACGGAAAATGATCACAAATCCACTGATATATCTCGCTTAGTGTCATTTTCTTTTTAGTTGAACTGTTGATTGCGAATGTGATCAAATTGGCATAGCTGTATGGTGGTTTCCCATCTTTTTGGATCTGATGTCCTTGATTATCGTACGTTGCATTCGTATCCAAGGGAGAATTTGGGCCCTTTCTCATGGCCAGTTGTCCCCCTGAGGCTTTAGATAGAGGGTCGAGGGAACCGTTGGGTCCCCCTAAACCTGCCCCTCCCATCGCCCCACCCACACGCAGGCGGTGGAGCCAGTCCATAGCAGTTAGGGAACTCTCCAGCTCCGCCATCTTGCAGGTACTTGTTCACCGCACAACCTTGTGACGTCATTTATGTCATCATGCGCTATTTCCGTTTTGTTTCGGTTGCTTTCCTTTTATATCGACGTGTTAATAAATAAAGTTTTATTTGTGTATAAAATCAGTACAAATAACATAACTTTAATAATATACAAACATAGACGCCTCAACATGGCGTCTAAACAGAACTATTTCTTCTCGCGGATGAATCGACCGAAGCTCGCCAAAGTAGCTTCATTACCCCCAGCAGAGTTGCATAGCAGCCGATGCTGACCTCTGACCCATATTGCGGGAAATTATTTCCGCAATGTCACACGTGTGGGTAAAAATGTAAACAAAATTGTCATAACTTGTTGGTGTCGCATGCACATAGGTCGACCTGATTTAAGCTTTGACTTATGAAAAAAAGGCCGAGTAATAGTCTTGTGACAAATATATGAAAAGGGGAACACGTAACATGTGAATGTCACAGTCAATGTGTACAATCAGTAAATGGACAAAATGTGACTCACTTAGATCAGAGACCAAATACCGTATATGGTCTCTGCTTAGATCTAGTCAATTTACAAAATGTCTAAATATTTTAGTCATTTTAAAAATGAACTGGAAAGTGTGTCTATTTATTTCACAGACTGGTTAAAAAATATAATAAGTTCTAAAGGGCTTATAAATATCAGAATATACTGATTTTGCTAGGATTAGACGCCAAAAAATAAATGAATCTTTCGTTTTCTTTTAACCCCAGTCACTGGATGATGAAATTCAACACGAAAATGTTTGAAATCAGTTATTATAATAAAATAGAAAGACAGTAAATTTGTATAATGAATGAAATAGGTAGGAGTTTTGTAAATTATGAAACTTTCAATCATTTTTTATCATTTTTATTGTAACCACAAGCCTAAATACGTGTTTCAACATATTCACAGGGTGAAACAATGAACCAGTTTTATTTTCTGATTATAGTCAATTTATAAATTCAAACATCATTTAGGGACTGTTTAATTATGTTTATGAAAAAAATGTGAAGGTGTGTGTGTGGCTGTAAAAAAGTGTTACATAACATGAGTGCATGGGTAGGTTGGTCAGCAATACAGCCCTAAGACCAATTACACCACCCCTACCCCCACCCCCATTTTTAAAAAACTGACAAGTCCCCCAGAGTAAACTAAATGTACTGCAGGTACAGGTTTCAAATACACGACCATGCTTGCTGTAAAAGGTGGCAATGCTTGTCGTAAGAGGCGACTAACGGGATCGGGTGGTCAGGCTCGCTGACTTGGTTGATGCATGTCATCGTATCCCATTTGCGTGGATCGATGCTCATGATGTCAATCACTGGATTGTCTGGTGCAGACTGGAATATTTACAGACAGCCGTCTGATAGCTGGAATATTGCTGGGTGCGGCGTTAAACAACAAACAAATAAACAAACAAAACATGACCGTGAATGCCTGTGAGGTTGAGGTTTGACAGCTACCCGAGTTTATCAGTGAGGTGAGGTGAAATTCGGTTCAACGTCGCGTCCAAGATTATTGCACTTATATAGCGACGTGCGTGCACGTGTGTGGCTGCTTGTACTAGTCCTGACTGATGCCGATTTATAGTGCTAGCTCACTGAGATACCATGCCGCAGTTTTATATGAATACCCCACTCAGACACAGTATACTGACTCCGAGCCGACCAGTCCTTGTTTTAGCCCCTCAATGCAGAGCGCCAGACAGGGTAACAACAAGTACAATCTTATAACGTCTTTTGATATGACGCGGCCGGGGATCGAACCCCGGACCTTCCGGTCTCCGGGCGGACGCTCTGGCTCTAGACCACAGAGGCGGTACCGAGTTTATCAGCTAAGTCTGGGCCAGACAAATGACAGTGCCAGCCTATGGTTGACGGGACAAAACTTTATTACAACAATCTAACAGCGGTATGAGGGGAACCTGAGTGTAAAAATATATAACAAACAATTCAGTCATTCATAAATGTATATGTACACAATTTACACGTACTCTCCCCCCGAGTATGAAATACAGTTTTGTCTGTTTTGTTGTTGTTGTTTTTGTGTGTTGTTGTTTTGTTTGTTGGTTTGTTTGGTTTTTGTTTTGTTTGGGTTTTTTTGGGGGGGGGTTTGTTTTTGTTTTTGTTTTTTTGTTTTTTGTTTTTTTTGGGGGGGGTTGTTGTTGTTTTTTGTTTGTTTTTTTAATTTATCTTTTTATTTTTTATTTTTTTTTTGGGGGGGGGGGGGGGGGGGGGGGTAGCAGTACAACGCAATGGGCGGGATTTATAAATAGACTGCACACTTTCGAAAGTTTTCTTTAAATTCTTACTGTAATTGTGCTGAACAGGTCATACGTTTTAAGCAGACATGGAATTTGGGGAATAATTTAGAAAATGACAGTTCCAGAAGATTATTTAAAATCACCTTTTATACCTCTGACAAAAATAATGTAGACGATCAGAATATTAAACAATTCACTATACAGAAGAGTGAATGAGTGAGTATGGTTTTACGCCACTTTAAGCAATATTCCAGCAATATCACGGCGGGGGATACCAGAAATGGGCTTCACCCATTGTACCCATGTCGGGAATCGAACCAGGGTCTTCGGGGTGACGAGCGATCGCTTTAACCACTAGGCTACCCGGCCGCCGATCCCCACACACCAGAAGAACATTGTAGACACTGATTTGTGCGTGCGTGAGCAGTGCGAAACTAGGTAGCAAGTCAAGGCAGTTTTTTCTTCACCTTTACTAGAACCTCTAGTGCATTTGCTACTGAGTGCTCAGGCTCGGTGACCTGCTTGCTTGCGTGTCATCGAACTCCGAAGGCGTGGATCGCTGCTCACAATTCGATCACTGGATTGTCTGGTCCAAATACGCTTATTTAATAGTCACCGTCATATTGCTGGAATATTGCAGAGAGTGGCGTCAAACGACAACAACAACAACAACAACAACGTGCCATTGATAACAATTATGCTCTTCGGTATACGCTAATTATAGGCAACATCGTTCGTTAAGCATGCACCCTTACAACCGTGATCACCCAGGCGTTAAAGATGTACACACCAGCTTCAAGATAAGCGTTTAAAATGATGCTGAACTTTAAAGAAGCGATTACCCAGCTAGGAGATGAGGATGCTATATCTGAGGCAGTAAATCAATAGTAGTCTCGGAAATGCACTGGGGTACTATTCAAGGTGGAGGAAATGGTTTCTTGAAATAATATTTAGTTTCGCACTGCTCATATTCACAAATCAATGTCTGCAATTTCCCCCAGGTGTGTGAATTGTGTGACGCTGATTGGCTGTCGACATGTTGTTTCAGCACGAGACAAGCTCTATGTCCTGCTTACCTTTAAACATATAGGTGAAATGCACGTGCGGCAGTATGTGTAGGAAATGTCCAATTTGTATGTGACACCATTGGGTAATCCTACGTATTTTGCTGTCTTGAAATATGGGGCTGCATCCGCCTTATAAAATATATCGCTTTTCACGAAACTGCACTATGTATAAGAGTGAGTGAGTGAGTGATTATGGTTTTACGCCGCTTTTAGCAATATTCCAGCAATATCACGACGGGGGACACCAGAAATGGGCTTCACACATTGTACCCATGTCGGGAATCGAACCCGGGTCTTCGGCGTGACGAGCGAACGCTTTAACCACTAGGCTACCCGACCGCCCCGCACTATGTATAAGACTGCCCATTACTTACTTACTTATATTGGAGATTTAACGTGCGCTTTCCGACTGCAAGCGTATGCCGCACACGGAAGACTGCCAAGACTGAGGCACCTTTTAGATCTAGGTGTCATGCTTGCCGCAAAAGGCAACTATGCTTGTTGTAAGAGGCGACTAATTGGGATCGGGTGGTCAGGCTCGCTCACCACCCACTTACACTTTCCAGCAGGCAACACTTAAATCCATCTCGCGGTTCACTTATACTCTCCCCCTGCACGCAACACTTAAACCCCATCTAACCCACTCACTCTTCAAATACCACTTAACACTTCAACTCTACTCAACACGTCATCTCTACCACACTTAACACTTCAACTCTACCATACTTAACACTTCAACTCTACCAAACTTAACACTTCAACTCTACCACACTTAACACTTCAACTCTACCACACTTAACCTCTACCACACTTAACACTTCAACTCTACCATACTTAACACTTCAACTCTACCACACTTAACACTTCAACTCTACCACACTTAACACTTCAACTCTACCAAACTTAACACTTCAACTCTACCATACTTAACACTTCAACTCTACTATATTTAACACTTCAACTCTACCATACTTAACACTTCAACTCTATCACACTTAACACTTCAACTCTACCAAACTTAACACTTAAACTCTACCACACTTAACACTTCAACTCTACCACACTTAACACTTCAACTCTACCATACTTAACACTTCAACTCTACCAAACTTAACACTTCAACTCTACCACACTTAACACTTCAACTCTACCACACTTAACCTCTACCACACTTAACACTTCAACTCTACCATACTTAACACTTCAACTCTACCACAGTTAACACGTCATCTCGACCACACTTAACACTTCAACTCTACCACACTTAACACTTCAACTCTTCTCAACACGTCATCTCTACCACACTTAACACTTCAACTCTACCACACTTAACACTTCAACTCTACCATACTTAACACTTCAACGCTACCACACTTAACACGTCACCTCTACCACACACTTCAACTCTACCACACTTAACACTTCAACTCTACCACACTTAACACGTCACCTCTACCACACTTAACATTTCAACTATATCACACTTAACATGAGCTACAACCTTAAAACTTAACGTATTAACATCCCACACAGTACTCCCAACATCATGCCCAACCCATATTTCCATAACCACCCCAACGTACTGTTTGGGCTGGGAACCCCAAACACTGACTTGTCCCCACAAGCACCCTAACCCTCCCTATAGTACACCTCACCCAC